TTTTTCATTGATACGTAATATGTCGTGCAAAATTTCTAAAACAGAAAGTAGCCCGATAAAATCATGAGATTGACAGGGTAGGAAAGAAGCATAGAGTCACACCTTCGCCGCTTCTCTTCGGTTATGCTGATTAAAATGACATTTTATAACTTGCATTTTAAAAATAAATACTTCCTGCACTTGTCGCAAAATATATTATATTTTCATCGTAATAACTATCGTCATGTCAAAAAATAAAATGAAACAATAAATACAACAAATGTATTCATCTTAATTACGTTGATTTCAAATTACTTATGTAAGAAAGCTCGCAAATGAAATAGAGCTATATAGACGTAATGATTTGAGAAACGGAGAGCGCCTGAACAACGTCCAACAGTACATGAGCGCGCGCGTGGACGTAAAACAAGGCGCAGGCAGGCAAAGTCGGCTCGTATCTCAGACTAAACTCGGACTTTAAAGTATATTTATGTCTTGACGTGAAATCGATGCGAATGGATGCTGATCGCGCATAAAAACCAGCTGCCAGCCTATGGACAATAATATTGGCTCAACTCGCTCTTAATGTGATTGAAAAAAAAGTACAATTTCTTTAGCAGATCTCCGCTGACAAAAGTACTTTGGAAATTGCGTTCAATCTTGTCGTTAACACTACTCTTACGCGATTGTTAGTTGCGTCGGTGTAACTTCAATGAGTGCTGCTGTTATTTATATCGCTGTAGACCATTAAACAAACGAACGAACGCGTAAAGCCACAAGCGCAGCTCGCAATCTATCTTGCGACGAAATCAATTAGTCTGAATATCAAGATCCTATTCATTTAAACGTCTGCTAACTTAAAATAGGATTTTCATTGGAAAGAACAAATTATGCTGTAGATTTATGAACAATCAAACTTCAGAGCTTTTATTTTGGACGGTTCGAATCAATTAATATGGTCACTGAGAATTGAAAGAAGGAAGAAGCGCGTGCTGAAATATTCGAAGCCGTTCAATTAATCTGGCAAATATTAAATCGATAACCGTGAATACCGAATGTCCAAGTGCTGAATTTGCAATGGCTGAATTATTCATCGAATGATCTGTACGCGTATTCACGGTATCCCTCAGCACAGATTTAACCAAAGAAAATATAGCTATTCGTAGACAACAGAACCATTGATATTCAGCGATCGCGCGTGTCAGCCATTCGAAATAAAAACTTACGTGTGCGCGTATTCAGCTTGTGAGCTTGTAAGTCGATTCGAAGACGTGAAAATTGAAAAGAGCTAGCATGGATATCGATACAACGAAGGTGACTCGTGCGTGAAACACCGCGCGCGCGAGTGATGAATAAATGACTATCAGATGCTGCCACATCTGCCTGATAGTCATTCGTATGTGCGTCTATGTGCAGGCCATCAATAATCGATGCACCAGTAATACACCAGCAAACTCCGAACGTCTATTTTCTCTCTCTCTCTCTCTTTTATATCATTTGCATTCCCTCTCAGTGCAGGGCGTGTAGCACGCGCGTGGATGTGCACGAGAAATGCTTCGTTCTTAGGTCTCACGAGAAATAGAATCCTGCGATTATTAAATGGATCGTCGCAGGGGAAAACGAATTCTTGTTAATCGATTTTCAAAACTTGGGGATTTTCCTTAAATTGAATCGCTCCACTCTCCACGCTACTCTTTCTTCTTCGTTTTCTCGACATATGATGAAAATAAATTGACTTGGCGCACGAAAAAAAATATATATATATATATATATATATATGACAAAAACTTGGGCAGTAGCTTCTGTTTCATTTCAAAATTAACGAAGAAATACTGCGATTAGCGCTCCTAATAAATGGCTTTCTTCCATAGACACATCCATCGACGCAGTTCTTGACTGAACTACGAAAATTTATGCCAAGTGCACGAGAAAAAAAAGTTCTATTTTCGTATAAAGAATGCATTAAAATCCAAGGTGAGATTTGCATGCACGCGGGTTTGTGTATATATATTGCGCCTAACTACGCATAAATATACATGAGAATTTGTACTGATACACGCAATACTTTTTTTTTTAACATCCGTAGCTCTTCTAGCTTATACCCTTTACTTTGTTGGTCCTTTATAGCACATACTTATGCATATGTAAGAAAGACGAATTAAAAAAGAAACGCTAGCAAGAAATATTTGAACAGCGACTTCCTTATTTTTTTTGTCTGTCATTATGTCTTTGTTTCTATTTGGCGTGTTTTTATTGGTTACGTTCATACCTTTTATGAAAATCAAATCAAATCCACTTTTTACAAATCAAGTGCTCATAGTTTACATAAATAAAATTAAATACAATGTTTCAGAAAATATGGTGCATGATAAGTTTGTAAGGTGCCTATTGATTTGCTGAAATTTTTGGCTCACGTTTCAAATATTCAAATGCCAAAGAATCTCAAATATATCTGCGCACAATGAATATACGATAAAGCTTATTACATGGAAAAAAACAAATGTTACCAGTAAAAGAACTGTACTTAATTCGCAATTTTGTAAGCCAAGGGTGCGATCGATATAAGAAATTAATCGAGACAAGAGCGCTAAGGAAAAAGGTGAAGAAAGGAGTAGACGAAAAGAGAAGAAAGCAGGTCAAGAAAGGGAATGAGAAAGTAGAATAGATAGAATAAGAAATATAGTCAACACGTAGCACAGCGATGCAGAGAGAGAGAGAGAGAGAGAGAGAGAGAGTGAGAGAGCGGAGGAGGTGCGGACAAAGGAGTCCGCGTGACGTACACAAACGACTGCTTATCGGGACAACAAGCAGGCAGAGCTTGAGGGGGCGTTTGTGGTTTACTTGCGGTGCATCGTCGCGAGATTATGTAATAGGTACAGAGGTCAAACTTTTTGACGCTTCTGTTCATAAGTATTACAATCAGTTTACTTACGACACGCCCACGTTGTCAACTACATGTGTTTCCAGTTGGGCATGCGTGTCTATTAACTGCCTAGCGGAATATGTATCACCAATTTTTTGCCAACCGACATTACTGCGGCAACTTATAAACCATCAAGTCTCTGCGTAATTTTTATGGCTTATATTTCCATACTTGGAGTTTTTGAGTTGATGTATGGCTCCCACGCGCACGCCTGAAATAAAATTGCCGATTACGGGAACGTAGCCTTGAATTTAATATACATGCGCGTAATGGGACAGCTGCTGTCGATTTGTAATGAGCAGGAGCAATCTTGGTGCTAAAAACTTCAACTTCTGTTCAAGAGACCTGCGAGATAGCGAAGTAAGTTTGCCACTTACTGCTGCGGTGTAATACTATCATCGACAGAATTTCCCGGATAGGGGCTAGTTGATTTCCCTGTCTTATCATCTGCGTCTCGGTTCCTTTGTAAACACCCTCTTGTGAGGTCTTCTAACGTAGTTTTAAAGCCTCACGATACAGTTATATAATACAGCCATTGTGGACTTGACACGGTTTTAATGGGGTGTAAAATATTTCTTGAACCTTTGAACTCGAGAGCCTTGGTTAATTCAGCCAACTTTATTTGCAATAAATTGTATTGATTTATGATTGCAGTCTTACTAAAAAAATTTACACAAGGAGGAAAAAGTTCGTTATAGAAATTACGACGATAGATCTATAAGACTGGGACATTGTACAAATAATTGTTATAGAGAAACCTTAGAAAGAGCCATCAAGGCGTCGCATAATTTTTCCAGTTTGAATAATTGCAAAATAATTTGGACGAAAGTTGGTGGAACATAGCTCACTAAAATAAGCTCAAAAATGTTATTTTTAAAAACAATATTGTACTACATTACTTCACGTCTTGTTATCAAATCTCATCAAGAATATATATTTGAATTGCTAATAAATTCAGATAATAATTTTATTAAGTTTTTACTCAAATTTACTTTTTTTAATCAACTTTTCTTCCAGCATCCGACGTTTCTAAATAGGGTTCTAAACCTTTAATCTTATTTTGTTCAGCAGAGGAAGACCTAAAAATCTATCTATAAATTTTCATTAGAAATGCCGTTTTGGCATTATATAATGCCTAAAACGTTAAAAAAAAAAAAGTAATTTTCGACGAACATTTTATGATTTATGCATTTTTCATGGTTTATTTTAGTTACAATTAATTTTTTGATTGAAATCTATAAGTAAATTTGCTACGGTTTCCTTGCTCAAGAAATTGAGTTCCATCATAAAAGTGTTACTGCTTCAGAAAGATACCTAGAACATTTGCCAGTGATCGACAAAACATTCGGAGTTTGAAATAATCAGAAAGAACAGAGCTGACGAGCTTTATTTTTATGTGGGATGTATGGATCAAATTTCAAAATAATAAATTTCAAAATAATAATAAAATTATCAGAAATTTGAGTAAAAACCGAATTTTTAGAATTGTTACAAGGATGTTACAATAATCTGGACGATGATGATAATGAATATTGTTTATTTAATTCTAAAAGTATATCCATATTCTAGAATAACACATTCCGTATTTATACTGTGATCATTTCATACTTAATAATTAGTAAATTGTCAGTTTTCATTTCAGATGAACATTCTTTATCAAAATAACCAGATATTGTGCTTTGCGATTAGTTCTGCCCGCAAAGCTTCTGCGAGGTACTGAGGCACAAAGTGCGAACAATCACCTAAGACGATTCCCCACAGAACCACTAGGGATTTCTCGTAACCGGAAGATGGAAGGACAGCAGAGATGATCAAACTGCTAGGAAAGCTCGAGCGCTCTCGTTCGATTATATTTACTCTCCGTTCATGGACTGACGCAATTTCAAGTTCGCATCTCGCGTATAGATCCATATATAGACTACACCTCATCGACGACTATTTTTGAGGTGACAATCAAACGTTTAAGCTAGTTTGATTAGCTTTTGTATATCAATGCGAGAAACCGAGTAAATTTCGTTTTAATAGAAAGATATTTCTATATGGCAAGCGCGAAATGATTATGAAAGAATAATGTTTCCACCGTAAAAATTGAGCTTACCTTTGGCATGACAAAAGAAGATTCCGTCAGTTGTGAATTTAATTTCATCTTTGATCCTGAAACAATAGAAAAACTATTTAAATGATAACTTGAAAAATGTACATATAAACTATACAAATGAAAGGAAATATCAAACGAGACTGTGAAACAAATATGCCCGAGCTGGATTTTCAATAAAAGTAAATGAGGCGCCGTTCAAAATGTTGATTATAGACAGCTAATAGAGTTGCAAGTGAAATATTCAGACAATGTAGAAGTCGAATATATCAATGCGGTCGGCGAGAAAGTAGAATGGAAACGAGGTAGAGCTAGTGAAGTTTTATTATCCTTTTCAGAGGAATTCAGGGGAGAGTGCCCGGGGCTCATGATAATACATAAGACTTTGAAAATCAAATGGCGCACAACCCCATCCTGACCTAAATTGCACATTTGCATTAGCTCTCACGCTTTTGTCTTATATTCCTCGATTTTCACAACGAGAACAAACACATGCAGCTCCGTTGCTCACTTTTTTCTGTAACTTTTTTCCCGTTGCTATGCTTTTTTCAGAGACTTGTCTTAAAGAAAAATCGTAACGCAAGGCTATGGCACGTAGAAAATTGTAAGATTATCAACGAGCCTCTATGCGACAGCTCGTTTTTCATTTAGCTCCACCGGGCGGGCAAACATGCAACTATGCTTTTGTACAGATATCTGTGGTACGTTTACGTCAACCATTGTCGCGACGTACTTTGCTAAATACAGCACAGAATATTCTACTTTTCAATATTTCAATATAAACTCACTGCTATAGTGCGCAACAAATTAACCTAGCTTAACAATGATACATGGTCATCTTCAGGAAAATAGTTAGAATGGACTGAACTAATTCTGACCGCAGACTTTGCAGGCTAACCTCAAATTACGGCTGTGGTAGATAATTTAACAGGACTCAGTAGCTAAACTGAGTCTGTATTACTGCCGAAAAGCTGTGTTATGTATCAGAGAAAATGAGCTACATGGGTAAAATCTCACAGCATGAAAAAGCTTTGTTATGACAGATTAACGCTACTTAGTTGAACAAAACTGAAAGATTGCATTTATCAATATATCCATTGAAATATTGAAGTTTCGCAAAACCTGATCTAAATTCTCTTCAATTTAAAAAAAATTTTAGATATAAATATCGAAGTTTGCTATCTAGAAAGTTCGGGATTATCAACAAATAAGAATTTCTGAGGCAAACCTACTAAGAAAGTTTACTCTATTAGCATATTCAGAAGAAAATTAAGCAAACTTGAATCTACGGAACAGTCCACGCTCGACGACTTGTTTTCAGATAACCGAATCAGGAAATGTCGTCCGATTAATCGGCAATTTAAGAGAGAATATTTTCCTAGCATACAAGCCATGGCAATTACGTGAAATGTCCATCCAATCACCAGTTCGTATTCCAACCGTGCGCTTATCTTTTATTCGATCGACGTACATAATTAAATTAAGGCCCCCACTGTTCTACTACACGTATATAGGCGTGATTTGCTCGATAACTTTGATTTATTGGAACGTCTCTTTTCGAAATAAATCAGAAAATAGTTGAAAAGCTCACTTGACTTATTTCCTTTATCTTCTCAAAGATATCTCGAAAAACTTTTGAAAACAGAACTCTGCTTGTTGATGGATTATCAAGACAATCTTTGATACGGATTTATATAGTAAACTACTTAAATTCAAATACCAAGAACTTAATCGTTTTAAATTTTGTTTCTTAGAATGTTTAAGATATGTGCATACTTTTGCTTTGTTCCATGGATAGCGAAGAATTTACAGCAAAACATTGACAAGAGTTGTACGCGTACGTGAACAACCCCGTACACTCTTAAAATTCGTTCATACCGCTTCAGGAATTCGAGCGCAATACAAGTGAGCTAAGTGCGCGCGAACCAAGTACTGGAGGAAAACTTGGATAATTTCAAACCTATCAGAACTTTGCTTGGACGATGCACCCGATGATAGAGCCAAGTTGACTACTCTGCCTACTTGTGCAACGAATAATGATGACTTTTAGTTTTCTTTTGATTAATAGTCCACTGTATTTTCTTGATTCCCTCGAGTTTTCAAACATTTCCATACTACTAGATTTTTCCGCTGCAGAAGATAATAAATTTTTGGTCCATTTCTCATTTTAAGAGACTCAATATTTGGTATTATAATAACTAGCTTTTTTGATTTTAATATTTTCCTCAGAAAATTACCAAGTGTAAAAATGTTTTTATGAAAACTTTTTGCTTACACTCACACACAATTATCGATATTTTTTGCAATGTTTTGCCTTTTCTAAACTTTTCAAATAAATTACTTCTCTAATTTTTTTAAGCATTTTATTTTATTCTTCATAAGAGTTTGTAACATCTGTAGTTATCTATAGCCTTCTGCGATTCAAAATTTGCTTCGTTTTATAAAGTATTTGAATTGATTATTATATTGTTTAAATGCATCAAATTTTTAGTTGTAGATTTTTAGAGAAAAATTTAATTGACAATTGTTTCGAGAAGTATTCGACTATTATTTGAGAAAGAGAGAACTCAATCAGAGAATACAGTTAGTTTACTTTGTCAGGTGTTAAGAGTAAACATCATGAAAACAACTAATTAAAAAAAAAGTCGATAGCCGGTCGGCTTTAGTCGAAGTTGTAGACTGGATATTAAAAGAGCATCACAGAATCTTGATAATTCTCATCCTAAAGGTGAATCGACAGACAAAGCCAAGGCTTATCAGGCGACAATGGCGGATCCGTCAATGAAGTCGGCAGCACTGTGCACAGTCTGAGTAGTAGGTGTGCGTTTATGAAAAGAGCCGAGTATAGCGAGGGCGTATTGGCAGGATTCGTTGACCGTTGGTGAAAACAATGCCTCGACGTTCGTTGTATGCACGAAGAGCAATAGGGGAAAAAATAAGGGAGAGAGAGCTGGGAAACGTCGGCTTATACAGTAGCTGTCGATTCGAGGCCGCCGACGCCGCGGGTTAACAGTCACACCGATTCTATTCATTCAGTAGAACTTAGTACGTACACTTGGAATTTTTCAGCGGATTATGCCGAATGATGCCACCAGAGGAATCTGACGTTACATGTTAATATTTTTTTCCTAACTTCGTCATAATACGATTTTTGTATTTTACTTTCGATTTTTGCATTTTCACTTACTGGCTTTCATTATTAGTCATAAATATCGTTCGACCAATGATTTTTATTTATACAAAATCACATATCTGTTCATGTACAAAAGCCATACAATTGATTATTAAAATTGTCGCATCCGCCCAACTCTGATGGAGAAGTGTCACTTATAAATAGTAAATACGTATGAGACCGTTTTTATAAAATTTACGCTATTTACAATATTATCTTTTCTATTTAAATCTTGTTGAACTATATTATTAATTCTCATAATATTGTTGAATATACCTTCGTTAATCAATAATCAATAAAATTTTTTCTTTTTTTGACTATGTTGTATACAACCAACCAGATTCAATAGCCGACTAGCAAACTATTAATTTTGCAATGAAGATTGTATACTTTTTGATTGTACAACTGTCTAATTATAAATATTTTTCACTGAGAAAACATTTTTACGCTTTTGATCTAGCAATTCAATTGAGTATCTTTCTGTATATGTAATCATTCCTAAACATTTGTAACTTGAACTAAGTTATAATTCTAACTTTCTAAAATTTTTATTATAAAGCCTAGTCATTCAAGTAATTTAACGGACAAGCTTATGTTCTCTTTACTTTTCTTTTTATAATTTCTTATAGACAAAATATCATCTAAGTTTATAACAAATTTTCAACCCCTTTCTCATTAATAACTAAATTTCATAATTTTTGTGAATGTAAAAGGTGCTATGCGAAACTAAATAGAAGACGTGAACTGAAAACTACAAAATACCATTAAAATAAAACTTTATTTTCTGCTATTTTGGTAAACATAAGGAAATAAGCATTTTTAAGATCAATGCAACTACAGAGATAACTAAAGAGAACTTTGGAAAAATTAGTTAGATTAAGCTGCCTTTAAATCATCAATCTAGAAATATTGATTCTCTACAGAAAAGTTTAACTTCTTCATGTTTTCTATTTGGTTTCTTTATAACGTAGAAAGAGAAAATATTTTTATGGCATTGTTATTTGAGAAATTATTTATATAACTCTAAATAATTTCATTTTCATTTTTAGAAAATGTAATTTGCCTTTTGATATTAGAAGATATTTAATTATTTTTTATAAGAATATTTTATTCTTTTATACATTTCAAGACAAACTTATCATTTGTAATTTCTTTCAAATTTGTATAAGGGTAATCTTAGCCTACTCGCACAGCGACTTACATTGTCTGATATTTTTTTTTCTAGAACTTGATAGTATACTTTGTTTAGGATATCCTTCCGAAAGATGTACTCTTCCCCCCTCCCTCTCCTCCCATTCAAATTGGATATTTTATAAGTAAAATTTATTAAAATTCTGCTTTGCCAAGCCTTATGGTTTTCGATGAGACTAGGCTTTCAACCATTTAAACAGATCTGGCTCAGTGAAAACCTTGCTAGTTTCTGCTTATGAATGATCATATCTAGAATATTACGAAAATCCACCATGGATTTAGGGATACTAATGAGGTCTAAACCATTTTTAAATTGATCATTAATTAGTGAGATCATCAGATTAATCACGGATGTAATTGTGCTCGCTAATTTTTGTATTTCACACTTATATTTATTATGAAAGAATATTATTAGTTAGGAATGTTAAAATATAATGTTTATAATGATTTAATTGTAATTTTTATAAAAACAGTTGTTGTAGAAAAACACATAGGAAAATCCCTACTCTCTGGTCATGGTTTAGTTTAATGTAGTTGCTGAGATTTGAGAATTTTGCTTTAGAGGTTTTAATTTAGAGCTTACTATGTATTTTTTCGGTAGAAAATATAACAGCTCCTTCTTTACATCATTTTCATTAAAAAAACTCTCGTCTTTTAAAAAAAGTTGGATCTATTTTGATCACTACAGCTACTGAG